TTGGCAAGGTACCTTGTGTTTTCCATCTATATATTTGCACAATCATATTTCAGCTCATGTCACTGCAGGTAACTCCCTCCCTGACCCTTTGGCTTTAAATAGCAGAAAACACAACCCATGTTTTCCAGTGAGATAAACAGAAATTTGTCTTTTTTATTTCACAGCTTAGTCAATTTATGAGGGAGACTGATAGGGCAGGCCAAGCTGTTCAGAAACACACTTAGATCCTGAGAGGTGCTGAACTGCTGAGCACCCACCAGCTTCCTGCAAGTAAATCCCCTCAGTATCTGTCTGGCTTAGGTTCTGTTTCCCATGCAACATATTGTGTTTCTATTTAAAACTAACTTTAAATTTCTAATCACTGTGAATCAAGCCTTTTACAAACTGTTCAAGCTTTAAGATTAAACTTTTAAAAGCCCTTAAATGAGCTAAATGAAAACCAGAATGCAGAGAACCTGAGAGCTGACACACAGGCAGGGCACTTGCTGCTCAGCCAAACCCAGTCTCACAAACTGACCCACAAGAGCAAGGATGTGCAAGGGTGGATTTGCAGGTCAGTGCTCCAAGGTATGCATGAGTTGCCTATAATTATGCTCAGTGTTAGGAAAGCCACCTGTGCTGCTGGTATTTCTGTTCACACTTACCTGTGGTAATCTTGGTGCTTCCCTTTCCAACCTCTGACACTCTGTGATGATGATGGACTGTGCTGAGCTCAGAGACAAAGTTCCAGACACCCTGGGATTGTCACCTCCTACCCAGCAAAGGGTCTAAAGACAGGAGCCCAGTGCTCTGGAGGACAGTTTGGATCAATGGATTGGAGCTGCAGGAATCCTGGAAGCCCTGGATGCCAAGCTATGCCTTCAGAGCCAACGCAGCTGCAGCGCCCTGCACACCTCCCTGCAGGAGGAGCAGGGACAGCAGGGACACCCCAGTGCCCAGTAGATGAAGAAAAGCCTCTGTGTTCACACAGCCATGGACATTCCCAGGCCTGGCTAGGGGAGCAGAGCCAGGCAGACACCAGTGTCCCCCCCACTGCCAGGCCCAGAGCTGCTGGGGGGCACTGGGGGGTCAGGCCAAGGAGCTGGAACCTTAAACCGCAGCCGCACCTCGACGTGCTGCCATGGTTAGGAAGCCCTGTCAGATCACCAGTCTTGGAAAAGACCAGAGCAGCCTCTGAAAGGCAGCCAGATCCTCTGCTGGAGTTTCTGGCACCTGGAGCTGAGCTCTGGGGTGCATTCATGCAGCCTCTGCTTGTTCCAGACAGTGGGAAGCACGTGCCGTTCAGGAGCTGAAAGCTGCCCTTGCACACAGAGCTCCCCACCTTGCTCCACAGCTGCTGGAGGGCTTGGGCAGCTGTTGGCCTTTCTTTTGCCAGTTTCCTCATCATTAACAGTTTTATGTGCACCCTTGCAAGTCACTGGCTGGAAGAGCCTCCACAAAATCTTCTTCAGTTGACCCGGGATCCAGGATCAGGATTTGCACTGATTCTCCACAAAGCTCAACTTGTTCACTGAAGGCATTTTTAAATTAAACTTTTGCCTTCTTTACAAATAATTTAAATAGTCACAGGCTTAAGTCTAGTTTCAGTTTAAGGATGGATTCTGTGGGAACTGATTCAATTTCTAGGTCTCCACCAGAAGAACAGGTCAGAAAAGTTTGCAAGAGACAGTCTGGGCGGCTCATGCCAACGAGTGCCTTTTACTTAAACCCTCTCCAAAGGCCTTTTCTGATCTCACTGCTGAAAACACACCAGTTTACTCTTCCAGTTACTGTCTGATCTTTTTAGCTAACTAGAGAAAGCCATGACTGCAGATTGGGGTTATCTGCACCCTTTCACTTACACAGCAGAGCAGAACCCTCGGCCCTTTCTGTTTTACCATCAGCCCTCTCTGTTTTGCTAGGAAAGCAGTTGTTTTGCTTGTCCTGGTCATTAGCCAAAGTGGGCTGTGTGTCACATGGTGTGACACTGCTGCCAGTTCTGTTCTTTCCTTGCCCTGTGTTTCGTACCACATCTCCTGCTTTGTTAACTTCCTTTGTCCTGCTGGACCAGACGTGCTGTTCCCACCTACGAAGCACTTTGTGATGCTACAGTCACCATCAGCCACAGCTAAAAGTGAATATGAGAGAGTCTCAGTATTGTGGTTCTACTAAAACCCGACCTTTTTCTAACACAAAGATCCCAAATTTATTACTTCTAAACTTGCAGAGGGGCAGTGAGGCACAGGTCTGGGGTGGCTGTCAGATGCACACAGAAAGTGTAGGCTGGCAAGTAAACGAGAGAGGAAATAATGGAGTGTTGTATTAGCTTACTGCCCAAACTGCTCATCTTTGGGAATGCAGAAGTGATGAGGTTGTGCCTTTCAACCCAACTCTAACTAGACATTAGGCTGAAGGTGGAAGTGCTGTGCCCTGCTCAGCCTGCCCTAGAGCAGCAGCAGAAGCTCAGGGGAAAGGAACTCCAGGAGCAGCTGCCCCAGTGCAGCCTGTCCCAGCAGTGCTTCCCTCTGGGACCCTCCAGGGGCTTCTGTGGCATCAGAGGCAGGGCAGGAGGATTTCTTAGGAAAACACCTTCTCACCTTATCCCATTTTGTTACAAAACCCCCACCAGACTGTTTTGGTATCTAAAACCATCACAGAAGAAGCTCAATCTGAACTGGGCCCACCCCTGCCCTGTGTGCTGGTGTTTCCATCAGCCAGGCAGGGTCATGGAGCTGAAAAAGGTGAATCATTTATGGAAAACAGGGACAGCCTGATGCAGACCTGACAAGCCTGTGCCACTTTATCAATACTGCACGAGTGCCAAGGCACTTCCTTCCTGGATCAATTCCTCCAGAAACTTACTTTGTTTACCTTGTAATCTCCTAGCACTGGGTTTTTCAAAGCTGTTAAACTTTCCCCTCCAGAAGGACAAAATTATAAAGTAACATAATTTGTGTAATATATTTATGATCAAGCTTCACACTGGATTCTGATTGTGCCTGTGCTAGTTCTATACCCTCTGCCTTGCATTTTGTTCCCCTCCAAGGAGCAAAGGAGCTGCTTAGCCTTTACTATGTTGAGTGTGAGAGATTGAAATGATGTCCCCGTGTTTTTTATTCTAGTTCTTGAAAACAACTGGTGCTAGATCAGAAATCATCCAACCAAAGGAAAACAGAACAAGATGCAAATACTTTTTGATGCTGTGTCTCGTGGCAATCAGGTGTCATGCATTGCTGAGCAGAGAACCACGGACTTCTTATTGTACCCTCCCTTGTTTATCAGTGCATTTTTCATAGTGTTGTACTTAAAATAGAGATGATATTGGTGAGGATAAACTGGAGGAGGAACTAGAAAGATGCCCTGGCTGGTCCTGGTGGATTGCCCCTGGAGTGGGACCCCATTTCCACCTGCCTCCTCTGGTGCACAGAGGCACTGAGAACAGAACTCCAAATACACCTAACCCTGGCATTTCTATCCCATGTTCAGAGCTTCATGAAAAGCCAGCAGATATAGAAAGCCTTATCTGCCAAGCCCACAGTCCTAACAATTCACTGTTTTATGATTTTCCTCTTTTTAAAGAAGGGAAAACAAGAAGGAAGTCTGGTACTGGACAGGTTCCTCAGTGAGCACAGTGCATAGCAGCATCAACAGGAATGTTGCCTGTGCCAATAAAATGGCACCAAGCTGCCTGTGAACACATTCTGATTATGCCATCTTGCCTTCCATTTGACTTCCTTGCCATAAGGAAGTGACTATTTTTCACTTAATGTCACATTCAGCAATGAGTAGAGAAATCTAGATCATACATGTGAAAGGGATGTAGCTGAGAATAAGATGCTTGCAAGATTTCTTTCCCAAGTGGTTCTTCTTTTGTGAAATGCAATAAGCGGCAGAAACGTGCTTGGTTCATGTAGAATAATCTGTTGCCAGCAGCTGAGCTCTGCCAGAGCTCAACTGGTGGGTGTTTGGAGAACAGAAGCTGATCTTCCCATCTGCCCACCCCTAATTAAGAGCCTGATTCTGATCCTGTTGATACAAGGGTTCATTTTGTCACTGGAGAAATCAGAGCGGGGATAAGGTCTTAGTCTGGGAGATCCAAGAATTTTTAAAGGGCTGTTTGATACACATGGGCAAACCTCCTCACATTTGGAAGAGCCCCTCTCTCAGCAGAACTGGTTCCAAAAGCCTCACAGATCCCATAGGAGCCACGTGTGGGAAACCCACACGCCAGGATGGAGGAAAGCTTTGAGAAGATAAATTAAGTCGTAGATTTAAAGTGAGAACCTCCCTCCAAACAGAAGCCTGTCATTACTACCATATTGCACAAAATCATATTGGCTTAACCTCTTCCCAACAGCCTTCTGGTGAGGCTGTTACTGCCCCTTGCTTTTGTCATGGGACCTACAACAGGCCATGGATTTATTTATTTATTTATTTTTCATCCTGTGAGACATTTTGAAATTGAACCTTATTTCACTGAGGTTGCACAAACGGGGTTGAAAACTTGGTGTCACCTACAATGTGGGGAAAAAAAAAATCCCAATTCAGGCAAAACATCTTCAGAACAAGATTTCTAACAGAGGCAGTTTTCCTGTCAAAATACCTTTCAGTGTGGAATGAGCTTTCTACATAAAATCCCATTTTTCAGCTGGTTTTTAAGAACGTTGGATATGGGTGTTTTTGTTTCACTCCCAATTCCACCTATTCTCCTTTTTTTTCCTCCCCTTTCTTTTTGAGCTATAACATTTGCCACCCCACCCTTCTGCTATAAAAAGGTTGAATTTGACTACTTCTAATCCCACCTGGGAATACGGATGTGCAGCTGCCCAAGCAAAGCTTCCTCCTGCCCCTTCCAGAGAGTGAACGTCCCCGCAAATCGATACTCGGGAGCGACCTGCTGATGCCTGCAGGTTTGCAGCACGTCTAAGAATAACCTCCTGATGTTAGCATTGCAGGGCCTTGTCTCTCTGCTCCTGGCTAAGGTCACCAGGTTGTATTTCTGGCACTCCTTTCCCTTTCAGGTAGCAGGGAGGCCGCGTTCACCTACGCCATCATCGCGGCCGGCGTCGCCCACGCCATCACGGCCGCCTGCACGCAGGGCAACCTGAGCGACTGCGGCTGCGACAAGGAGAAGCAGGGGCAGTACCACAAGGAGGAAGGGTGGAAGTGGGGAGGCTGCTCGGCTGACATCAGATACGGGATCGGATTCGCCAAAGTGTTCGTGGACGCGCGGGAGATCAAGCAGAACGCACGGACGCTCATGAACCTGCACAACAACGAGGCCGGGAGGAAGGTGAGTACCGGGGTCCTGCCCCGGGGCTGGAGAGGGGGCTGAGCACATGCAGGGGGTGAGAGCTCCAGCCTGCTTTAGCACCAGCCTCATTGCACAGTAGACACCTTTGCAAGTTGTGCAAGCTTGCTCGCTGGGCCATGTGTCCCTCAAATGTTTGTATAAATGTTGCTGGAGAAGAGGAGGCCAAGGGGGGATCCCATCGGTGCTTATAAGTGTCTACAGGGGGTGTCAGGAGGCTGGGGCCAGTCTCTTCTCTGCAGTGTCCAGTGACAAGGGGCAATGGGCACAAGCTGGAGCACAGGAGGGTCAAGCTAAACACAAGGAAAAACTTCTTTGTTGTGAGGGGAGCAGAGCCCTGGGACAGGCTGCCCAGGGAGGTGGTGGAGTCTCCTTCTCTGGAGACATTCCAAACCCATCTGGATGTGTTCCTGTGTGATCCACTGTAGGTGATGTGGCTCTGGCAGGGGGGTTGGGCTAGATGATCTTCAGAGGTCCCTTCCAAGCCTGACCAGTCTGTGACTCTGTGCCTGTTTACAGCTGTAAAAGGCAAAAAGCAAACAAGCATTTTATCTGGGAAGTCAAACGTGCTGATGATAAAATCCTGGCCTGCTACTGTGTGGGTGAACGGGATCCTCGTCAGGTTCAGACATGAACCTCTCCCTCATTTGGAAAGGGATCATTTTCACACAACTGTTCAAACCTCACTCTTGGTGGGAGGACTACCTCTACAAGGAGAAAAATGCTGCAGCAAAAAGACCACAGGTTGAGTCCCTGTGACTCTGTGGTATGGATTTGGTTTATTATTTTGCACAGGAGGATTCCCACCCTCTCCCTGGTCTTTGGGACCGGGTAGCTGGAAGCAGCTGCTGCAGACCCAGTGCTCAGGAAGGCAAGAATTCAGCAGCTCTGAGCAGGCAGGTTTCCTGTGGATCCTGGGCACTGGCTGCCCCGGGTTTGCTGCACTCACCAGATTTCTGACAGCCAGTGGCAGCCGCTGGAGATGTAAGACTCGGTCTGATCCCTGCTCCTTAGAGCCCTGCAGGTCAGGACATCCCCAGAGTGGCTCAGAACAGTCTCAGGGGTGGAGGGGCTCTGATTCCAGCCAGGAATGGCCAGGGGATGTCTGTGTGCTCCCCATGTAGCTGTGCAGGTACCACCTGGTGCTGCTTCCCTCTGCCCACTGCACCTCAGGGAATGAGGGCACCTCCTCCTGCTCTCCTGCCTCCCTCTTTTGCCTTCTCCACTGTTTGTGCTCCTGGGCAGTAGGACTGATCCCAGCATTATGTTAGTGTGGCTTAGAAGCAAACGGGAGAAGGAAGCTGGGAACAGCAGGTAATTTGTGGATACTATTTTCGTTGGGGTAATTACCTGTAGGCTCTGAGACAGGTACACTTACACTGGAGCCAAGCAGATGGCATTGAAGAAAAGCCACTTCCACCCCAAACAAAAGCCTAACTTTTATTTCATTTAATGCCACTGTAGTAGTCTTACAGGTCAGATTATAGTTTTCACTCTGCCTAGTATCCCAAATGTCCATGCCTGGCTCTGTAGTACAAACATGGTGCCTCAAAGCACTAGCAAAATTAACACTGAATTCAGAGACTAAATCAGGGAGTAACCTTAAAATTAATATTTGCTAATCAAATTATCTGAGATTCAATATGTTTAGTACCAGGCTTCTGGTAGCATGAAGGCACATACTGAAAAGCCTGATAAACCACCAAGGCCCACGCTCTGCTCTGCTATACAAGCATGAATCCACTGAAATAAAAATTGAGGAGTTTCACCTCTGTGTGAAGGCTGCTTCTCAAAGCTCTGCTTTTATTCAGTCAGTGCTGGCAGGAAAGGATTCCCAGGAAACAATACACCAGCTATAGAGGACTGCAAACATAGATGGACCTGGCTGCTGTCGTGGAAAATCGTTTCAGTTGCACAGCTCAAAGATGTAGAAAAAACCCAAGAAGTTGCATTTCTAGGATCTGTTATCACCCAGCTTTGGACCTAGGGTAGGAGGAGAATACTAGTCCTGGAGGTGGCCTGAGGGAAGGCAAAGCATTCAGCAGGTTCTCCTTGAGGACACGAGCTCCTTGTGTTTCTCACCTCCATGTGCACAATTTGTTGTCCTAAAAGATTATGCCTGGAGGATTCAGCTCCACACATTGTTATCTGGGAGAACAGTGGCGTGTCCTATCTCTGGCCATCTGCCATTCCTCCAGCAGGCTCAGGAACTGTTCTGATCTGGAGATATTTCTATGCTTCTTCCTGCATCCCTGACAGAGCAAAATTACTGATCTTTGTTCAAACAAATCTCTGCTTGAAATCTTCAGGGGAAAGAAAGAGGAACACGACTGAGAGGAGGCATGTTACTCCACCATCCTGTAGAGCATGAATAAACGATGTTTTTGCTAGAGAGATTCCTTTCAGGCTTTGCTCTTATGTGAAAGATCACAGTATTTAAAGACAATTGGCAGAGGGAGGTTATTATGGGTATTTGGCAAGCTGGGTTTCTCACAACCTAACCCTTTCCCAACAAAGACTGGCTTGTTTTGAGGTGGTGCTCTCCCTTTTGGAGCAATATGGATCTTATCAGCCTCCACACATCTGTTCTTGGTGGCTTTCCTCTAGGCTACAAATTCTTGTCTAGTTTTACTTGCCCATGGCTAGTTTTTTTTTATTATATTTATGCACCTAGGAGACCAACTGGCACCTACTGGGCTTCCAGAAATAACCTAGATGTTCAATCCTTCTTGATTTGTTATCTTCACCTCTAGGCCCTGCTACGCTGGTCAAAAGTCAGTCCCTGCTACTCCTTTGGTCTTGCAGTGCAGAACTGCACTGTGTGCTGTGCCCCCTCCCTGGGTGCTCACAAATGACCCACTAAAAGGTCCTTTGTTAGGATGACACCAGCTGCAGGTGATTCAGGATGCACTCTAGTAAATAATAGATATATATTATCCAGTTTTCCTCTGCACAATCACTATAAATTCATCTACTCAATCTTGGTGAGCAGGAGCTGACAGCCTGCTGCAGTAGGCAGCCCTGCAGGGAAACTGAGCATAGGTAGGACAGCAAGGTATAAACCAACAGTGAACCACCAGGAAAAGTCTGCTCCAGACTTTCTGGAGGTCTCACTTCAAGACCTTCCACCTTCTCAGAGTCTTTTGTTTTGTTTTGTTTTGCCCAGGCACATGTCTCTGAGCCTGCTCTGACTGCCAGAGCATTTTGTTTTGTTTTGCCCAGGCACATGTCTGGCAGGGGGGTTGGACTAGATGATCTCTCGAGGTCCCTTCCAGCCCCTAAGATTCTATGATTCTATGATTCTATGATGTCTCTGAGCCTGCTCTGACTGCCAGAGCAATAGCACAAGCATCTGTCAGCTCTTTCTGGAAGCAAACAAAAATTGACTGTGTCAGATATGGAGGATTTTAGAGGTCATAGGTGGAGAACATCCCTGCTGCAATTCCCTTTCCTGAGCAGCTAGTGCAACGCTTGGAAAACACTCAGGAGCACATCCCAGATGCAGCAAAAAAGCACTGCTACCCGGGGTCAGGGTGGGGGAAATGTCCCCATTCCAGCTGCTCCCACCCCAGTGCCAGCCAGGCCAGCAGTGCCCCCAGGATGGGCACCCTCATGCCTGCTTTGCTGAGGTGGTTTCCTTACTGCTCAAGGACAGGCCTCTAGAGCTCTGCTCTCTCTGGGGACACACCAGCAGGACTCCATTCCCTGCACAGCTGGAGTTCCCAGGCTGCTTGGAGGGGAAAGGGCAGGGTTCAGAACAGGGGTCACATACACCCTACCAAACTGGCCCCAAGCTGCCCCAGAAGCCTCCCATCATTTGTCAAACCTCTTGGAGAGCAGCTGCTTCTGACCTCCAGAAACAGAGTTTAGGGTGTCTTTCCTCTTTGAATTAGTATTTCCTGAAATGCTGATTCACAGCAGGAAGAAGCAAGCAGGACAGGGAGAACAGGAGGAGAATTCATAACAGCTGGGTCAGAAAAGAGAGATAAAGCTTGAATTAATTTAAAAGCATAATCCTGATTTGCCCTGCAAACTTCCATGTGAGGGGTTATAACTGCAAGACTGGATTGTCTGTTAGCAAATTTGTCTTCTCAAGTACAAAGCTGATTAAATCAGTGCAAGTAGCACAATAACACACATCTGAGAGATAGTTATGATCCAGGAAATAAAAATGGTACTCTCCAAGTATCTCTGCTAAAAAATAGCAGGTTAAAAAAAAAAAAAAAAAGATAGTAGGTAAAAATAGCAAGTACTGAAAGGTCCTACATATTTTGGCTGTAAACTTTTCATTATGACAGCATGGCAGGGTACATGACCAGACTGCTCTCTCCTCTCCTTTCCTCTGTGACATTGAAATTCCACGAATGGCATCTTGCATCAGCGTTACATCATATTAAGTATAATGCAATATTATGAGTCATTGTTATAAATCATGGGCACAGGCTGCATTAGAAGGCTTTTGCAATTCAAGAGCACATCAAGGTGGATTTTTACTTGGCGCTTCTCTTTGGAGGCAAACCCAGGTGCACTCACTTCACACTGGATCTCCATCCTCTGATTCCCTTTGCCCTCTCAGCCCTGAGGCTCTTTGGAGCTGTGCAGAGGTGCTGCAAATGGCAAGCAAAGCCAGGAGAAACCAGGTGGTTCTCGAGTGGATCATGCAGCGACCATAACAGACTGAAGTGTTTAGTATTTCGTCCCTTAGGGAAACCTGTTGAAGAGGATGTGGAAAGCATGGAGTTCAGGAGCTCTCCCAAGCTGTTCTGTAAAGCCTACCCTTAGGATGCTCACCTCCTTTACTTGCTGGCATCTCACCTCAGGAGGAGATTGCTGCCACATAACCCTCCTGAACTTCTTCCAGTTCTTGCATAGAATGCAATCACCACACCACTGCAAGAATTCAATTCTCCTTGAGAGGAGGCAGCTATTTCTACTTCATTGAACTTCTGCTTTCCTTTAACTAGCTCACTAGCCTGACTATC